TTAGGGTTTAGGGTTTAGCGCGAGGGTTTCCGGGTGGGGTTTAGGGCTAGCGTTTGCGGTTTGCGGTTTGCGGTTTAGGGTTAGGGTTTGGGACTTGGGGTTCGGGGTTTGGGGTTTAGGGTTTGCGGCTTGGAGTTTAGAGTTTGGGGTTTAGGGTTTGGGGTTTGGGGCTTGGGGTTTAGGGTTTAGGGTTTAGTTTGTAACTAATTGAATTTAAAATTAATTAAAATAATAATTAATTAGACTTTTGACAAATTGAATTTCCAAAAAGGGTTTATTTGTTTTCAATTAGGGAGAAAAAGAATTTACTTATGATCGAGTCTTTTCGGGAACCAGCACGCAAGTAGGCTGCTGCTGCTGCTGCTGCTGCTGCTGCTGCTGTTGCTGCTGCTGCTGCTGCTGTTGCTGCTGCTGCTGCTGCTGTTGCTGCTGCTGCTGCTGCTGTTGCTGCTGCTGTTGCTGCTGCTGCTGCTGCTGATAGTGCTGCTGCTGCTGCTGCTGCTGCCCTCAGGAAGAAGTTTATGAAGACACTGAGAGGCTCATTCAGTCTGTCATCGACGGATTCAACGTGTAAGCTTCTAGGGTTTAGGGTTTAGGGTTTAGGGTTTGGGGTTTAAGGTCTAGGGTTTTGGATTCAGGGTCGAGGGTTTAGGTTCCTGGATTTAGGGTTCAGGGTCTAGGGTTTACCGTCTAGGGTTTAGGGTTTAGGGTTTAAGGAGGTTTTGACTCAACTGAACGGACATCCGACGCCTGAACCCTAAACCCTAAACCCTAAACCCTAAACCCTAAACCCTAAACCCTTGAGGGTGGAAAATACCTGAAAAAGCGATTAAAAGCAGCTCAAAAGTTGCAAAAACAGCAACTGAGACAACAGCAGCAAAGCAGCAAAATTAAAAGTTTTTGCTGCAGTTAAAAGTGCAGCAAAAATGACAATAATTTGTTTGCAGATGTTCAGATGGAAGCAAACATGTGCTATAAATAACTAACTAACTAACTAAATAAATAAATAAATAAATAAATAAATAAATAAATAAATAAATAAATAAATAAATAAATGAATTTGTGAATATACAAATAAAAATGTTTATTATTTGCATGCGCATTTATTGAGCTGCTGCATTGCCGATATTGCTGCTGAAGTGCCCCTAAGCATACACGGCAGTCTTTTTACCTGCAGCAGCAGCAACAGCCGCAGCAGCAGCCGCAGCAGCAGCAGCAGCAGCAGCAGCTGCTGCTGCTGCTGCTGCTGCTGCTGCTGCAGTTCTTTTCGGCTCATCCTTTTTGTCTGTTGTTTGCGTTTCGATTGATGGGTCATTTGCATATTAAAGAAGTAAAAAAGAAAAAAAAAGAAAAAAGAAAAGAAATGAAGAATTGGAAATAATTAAATTTGCTGCGCAGCTGCATCTTCGCGTACGGGCAAACGGGCTCGGGCAAAACCTTCACCATTCAGGGCAACGCGAACTTCCCCGGAATAGCCCCGAGAGCCATCAGAGGTTTGTTCGAATTAATAGACCATTTGGATGAAAATAAATACAAAAAAGAAACTCAAAGCTACATGTGCGAGCTCTACAACAACCAGGTAAATAAAACCAAACAAAAATATCCATTTGGCCTTTTAAACGAAAAAAAAACCTTTTTGCTGCAGTTCGTTCCAGTTTCGCGCTGCTGCTGCTGCTGCTGCTGCTGCTGCTGCTGCTGCTGCTGGCTTGCATGCGGGTTGCATGCGAGGCGGCAGAAGGGGGCTTTTGATTTCTTTTTTGCTGCTTTCTTTTGTCCTTGGGTCCCAAATATACTTCACAAGTATTTATAAATAATATTTATTTATTTGTTTTTCATTAAATGGTATTTATTTTCCAAAATGTCTTTCATCGCGGGTCAACTTCGCGGTTGGCTGTGCAGATTCAGCTGTACATACACCTGAGTGCGTGTGAGTGTTTGTAAATAAATAAAAATAAAAATAAAAATAAATAAAAATAAAAATAAAAATATTTGCATATCTAAAATGCACTTGTACTAAATGCAGGGCTGGACGCATGCACACGGACAAAAATGCATGCAAAAAAATGCATGCATGCATGCATGCATGCATGCATGCATGCATGCATGCTAATTGCTGCTGAATTCAAATATGGGTGAAAATAAGCAAAAATGGCTTTAGTTTTTCTCCTTAAATCCTGAAAAGTGGCTATTTGTTTGTTATTTTCTTTTCGCTTTTTGATTTTTCGATTTTTGTTTTTTTCATTTCATTAAAAAGTTCATTTGCTGGCAGCAAAGAAAAGCGCTGGTTTGAAGCAGCGCATTTCTGCAGCTAAGTCTGTGCTGCAGCAGCAGCAGCAGCGGCAGCAGCTGCTGCTGCTGCCTACCTACTCCTTGTGCATCTCTGCTGCTTCGTGTTTGGGGCTAATTGCTGCTGCTGTTTGCTTCGAAGCATCTCGCATGCTGCTGCTGCTGCTGCCTGCTTCCAGGCGCGTCGCACGCTGCTGCTGCTGCTGCTGTTTGCCGTCAAGCACAGCGCACGCTGCTGCTGCTGCTGCTGGCGCAGCTGCTGCTGCAGCGCGCAAACCGCGTGCGCTGCTGCTGCTGCTGCTGCTGCTGCTGCGTGCTGCTGCTGCAGCTGGTGGACCTGCTGGCCCCCCCCGAAGCCAAGAAGAATCCTCCTTCTTTGGACATTAAAAAGGACAGCAGCGGCATAGTGACAATTCAGGGAATAACAATGAAGAAAGTGACATCAGCAGAATCTCTCGAGAAGATTTTCGAGTTCGGCCTGGCCTCCCGCCACGTCAGCGGCACCGCCATGAACGCAGAAAGCTCCAGATCTCATTTAATATTTGCAATAGTTGTTCGAATTGAAGATTTGATTGCGGAAAAGGTCACTTTTGGCAAGCTTTCGCTCATAGACCTCGCGGGGTCCGAGCGGGTGTCCAAGAGCGGTGAGCTGCAACTTGAACGGCTCGGAAAGCGGCGTTTTTCGCCCGTTTTTCGCGAAACCGACTTCATAATTGGTTTTAACTTTTATTTATTTACTTATTTTGTTTTTTTGGAGCTCGAGATCGCACTTTTAAGCCCCGGATCGCCGCCCCAGTTCGGGTGTATGCGCAGGTGTCACCAAGGAAAGACTCGTCGAAGCCAAGGAAATCAACAAGAGCTTAACTGCCTTGGGAGATGTCATTTCAGCTCTTTCCAGCGGTAAATAATTCAAAACTTGCAATTAAAAAGAATAAATAATAATAATAATTCAATAAATAAACCCTAAATTAGCGAATACCGTTCGCACTTTCTCTTTTTCCGCATTCAACTTCGAAAATGCAACTCCAGAAAACTTGAACTGCAGCGGCCGCAGAACACGAAAGCAAACAAACTTTTGAATTAATTTTAAAACATTTCAGAAAAACAAATGCCAAATTCACTTCAACTTCGAATGCAAAATGTTTTGTTTGCTTCCCTCCACCGCGCTGCAGTCTATTATTGCGAATTTTCCCATTACCGCCACGGCTCTGCTGCTGCTTCTGCTGCTGCTTCTGCTGCTGCTGCTGCTGCTGCTGCTATCCGTGCTGCTTCCCTCCTGCTGCTGCTGCTATCCGTGCTGCTTCCCCCCTGCCGCTGCCGCTACTGCTACCCCTGCTGCTTCCCCTGCCGCTGCTGCTGCTGCTACCCCTGCTGCTTCCCCTGCCGCCGCTGCTGCTGCTACCCCTGCTGCTGCCGCTACCCCTGCTGCTGCTGCTGCTGCTGCTGCTGCTGCTGCTGCAGGGGAGAGTTTCATCCCTTACCGAAACCACAAGCTGACGCAAGTGATGAGCGACTCGCTGGGCGGCACTGCCAAGACTTTGATGTTCGTCAACATCAGTCCTGCGGATTATAATGTCGAGGAAACTGTCACATCTCTCATGTACGCAGCCCGCGTCAAACTCATCACCAACGAGGTAACTGCAGCAGCAGCAGCAGCAGCAGCAGCAGCAGCAGCAGCGGCGGCGGCGGCGGGTGCAGTGCAGGGGCAGCAGCAGGGGGTGCAGGGCAGGCGCAGCAGCAAGAGCAGCAGCAGGGGGTGCAGGGGAGTGGCAGCAGCAAGAGCAGCAGCAGGGGGTGCAGGGCAGTAGCAGCAGCAGCAAGAGCAGCAGCAGGGGGTGCAGGGCAGTAGCAGCAGCAAAAGCAGCAGCAGGGGTTATAGTGCAGTTGCAGCAGCAGCAAGAGCAGCAGCAGGGGTTGTAGTGCAGTAGCAGCAGCAAGAGCAGCAGCAGGGGTTGTAGTGCAGTACCAGCAGCAAGAGCAGCAGGAGGTGCAGTGTAGTAGCAGCAGCAGCAGCTGCAGTATAGGAGCAGCAGGAGGAGGGGCAGCAGCAGCAGCAGCAGCAGCAGCAGCAGCAGCAGATTCAGTTTGAATGCTGCTTCGTTAATCGGGAGGCCCGGGCGAAGCAGCAAGCCAACAGCAGCCACAGCTCCTAAACCCTAAACCCTAAACCCTAAACCCTAAACCCTAAACCCTTTGCTGCTGCAGTCGACGAAGCAAGTGGAGTCGAAGCAAATTTCCAAGTTGAAAGACAGAGTGAAGAAGTTAACAGCAGCTCTTGAAAAAGCTAAGAGAGGAGAAGCTGTGGACTTCTCCATTTTGCAAGCAGAAGAGGGGGCCCCCGAGGGGGCCCCCGAGGGGGCCCCCGAGGGGGCCCCCGGGGGGGCCCCCGGGGGGCCCCCGGGTGACCCTGGGGAGGCCCTTGCTGATGATGACCCTAATTTAGAAGAGCCTCCCGACTTGTCTTTCTAGGAGCTAAACCTTAAACCCTAAACCCTAAACCCTAAACCCTAGCCCTAGAGCAGGTGCTGCTGCTGAAGCCCTGGGCGATTGAGCTAGCTGCTGCTGCTGCTGCTGCGCTGCCCGCATCAGCAGCAGCAGCAGCAGCAGCAGAGCAGCAGGGAGGGGCCCCTTGCTTCTCTTTTGCTGCTGCTTTGCTGCTGCTTTGCTGCTGCTTCATTTTTTAATTTTGTTTTGTAATAAAGCCTCCCCAAAGAATGTTTGAAATCTTTTTTGTTTTTTTAAACACCAAATTAATCCAAATGTGTCTTCCTGCATTCTTCTAGATAAGTTCAAGTCCCCACAAAAACTGACTCTGCATTCTCTGCATGCATGCATGCATGCATGCATGCATGCATGCATGCATGGGTGCATGCATGCATCAGTGCATGCATGCATCCGTGGATGCATGCATGCATTACTGCATGCATGCATGCGTGCATGCAATATGCATGCACGCATGCGTCCACCCATCATTGTATGCATGCATGCACTCATGCATGCATGCGAGTTGCATGCATGCATGCATGCAAATTGCATGCATGCGCTCATTGCTGCATGTTTGTACGGACTCATTGCTGCATGCATGCATGCATGCATGCACTAATGTTTGCATGCATGCATGCATGCATGCACTCTCAGTGCATGCATGCATGCACTTCAGTTTGCATGCACTTCTCCTGCGCGCATGCACTTATCATTGCATTCATTGACTCACTGCACGCACGCATGCATGCATGCATGCATGCATGCAGAATACATGCATGCATGCATGCAGAATACATGCATGCATGCATGCATGCATGCATGCATGCATGCATGAAGGACAAACTGGAGATTAGGAGCTGCTGGTGGACCTGCCCATGCCAAGTCTTTTGAAAATGCTTTTGCCTCCAGAAGGCGGTTTGCTGCTTGTTTGGGACTTTGCTGCTGCAGGCGGTGCTGCTGCTGCTGCTGCTGCTGCTGCTGCTGCTGCTGCAGCGTTGAGCCCCCCGCCCGAGTTGCCAGCAGCAAACCAGGCTGCTTGCTGCTCCAAGTTCACAAAGGCACTTGCTGCTCCTCCCGGAGCAGCAGCAGAATATTCGAGAGTTGTGTAGCTTTCCGCCGGTGCTGATGCTGCTGCTGCTGCTGCTGCTGCTGCTGCTGCTGCTGCTGCTGCTGGTGCTGCTGCTGCTGGTGCTGGCGCTGCTGCTTCGGTATCGGGCTCGGGGAACCCGTAGTAGCCGGAGTAGTCTGCGGGAGTCCCGCCCTCGAGCTGCTGCTGCTGCTGCTGCTGCTGCTGCTGCTGCTGGTCTAGGAGGCGTTCGTGCTGCTGCAGCGGGTCTTGGAGAGTTTGCTGCTGCTGCGGGCAAGGACTGGGGAGAGCAGCAGTTTGGGGCTGCAGCACGTAGGCCATTTGGGGGAGTCCCTCTTCCTGCTGCCAGGGTTCGTGCTGCTGCTGCAGCTGCTGCTGCAGCAGCTGCTGCTGCTGCAGGGGGGCCCCCGGGTCTCGCGGGTCGCCGCGGACTCTGTACCCTCTTTGCCTGCGGGGGCCCCTGCTTTTGAGTTCTTCGGCGAGCTGGGCGTTGTTTTGCTGCAGCTGCGCGAGTTGCTGCTGCTGCTGCTGCAGCTGCTGCTTGAGGGCGAGTTCGAGCTGGCGCTGCTGCTGCAGCTGCTGCTGCAGCTGCTGCTGCTGCTGCTGCAGCGCCTGCGCCTCTGCTGCTGCTTCTCGCCGCAGCGCCAACTCTCTTGCTGCTGCCTTCTCTCCCCTTTCTAAACTCTTGCTAAGAGCCACATTAAGTCCTTGGATTTCCTCGAGCAGCAGCAGCACTCTGCTGCGGGAGGTGTGGGGCCCCACAGCCCAGGGGGCCCCCCGCTGCAGCAGCAGCAGCGGGGGGCCCCCGTGCAGCAGCAGCGCAGCAGCAGCACCGATGAAAAGGTAAGCAGCAAATAAACAAACTCGAGTTAAATTCAAAAGTCTTTTTCTTCTTTTGTTTTCGCCCTGCAGCAAATGCAGCAGCTGCATGCGGCTGAGCGACTGCAGCGCGAGCTCCCCATACACCGCAACTGCTGCTTCTGCTTCTTCTGCTGCTTCCTCCGTCAGCGCTTCTCCGTAGCCCCACGCTGCGGGCTCCATTGCTGCTGCTGCTGCTGCTGCTGCTGCGGGTGCTGCTGCTGCTGCTGCTCCCGCCAGAGACAGCACTCCCCCCAGACCTCCCGGCGAAAG